TGGGAATTTTTATTTTGAAATAAAATCTTAACAATCTTAAATGTTTAATATCTGGGTCAAAATCAGTCTTTTTTAGAAAGTCAGTCAACGCAGAACTTATTTCTACCACACCTCTTCCTGCTTCATGCTCAAGCCATGTATAAAAAACAGGAGTTTTTGTTAAAATATCTGTCACACAAAATGCATAAAAATCCAGTTGCTGAGAATAGAATGCTTCCGTAATAGGCGCCTTTGGAAGATTTTGGACCTGTTGAAGATCAAAGCAATATGTCACGCTATCAGCAGATTCCTCTTTCATTGATTTAAAAAACTGCTTTGCTCGCGTCTTATGAATAGTTAAATCCATTTTTAATTTTAATCTTTGCTCTTCATCCTTGGTGGTATTTATCTCAGTATTTGTTCTTATGCAAAAGCCACAAACATCAGTAGCTGGACTTCCAAAGGCTAAAACAAACGGGCAACTTAGTAAAAAATAAAAAACATTTTGTTAATAATATCTACCTATATTAAAACTTATTGCTGAAAATTCGACTAAATTACTTGTAGTTTGTTTGGAGTGAATTATCTGGAATCTGATCATTATACATCTCCCACAGCTTTTTTATGTTTAACTCAGATGACAAATAGATTCTTCTTGACTTGCCTCTACCATAGTTACTTTCATGGCCCTTCAAAGACAAAATAAATTTCATGACACTTTCTAATTTAAGCGCATTTTTCTTGGACTTTCTGTCTCCACCAAGATTGTCTTTTATACTAGTGCCAAGCATCTTTTTTCTCACTATCGTATGAATTCTTCTTGGACTACAATTAAAAATAGAGGAAAATAATTTTTGGCAAACAAAGATTTTCTTGCTATTATGCCAAACCTAAAAAATACTCAATCAGAGACCTTACAAAGTGTAATCGAAAAATAAATATGTACTGATGCTAAAGCTTGGTTTATTTAAATAAAAACTTACATAAAATTCTGTGTGAAAATCATGTGATTTACCATTCTTTCTCTTTCTTTGCCTTTTTATTTCCTTAATATTCATCATCTGTGCTAATTTGTTATCCTGAGCATTTTTGTTCTTTTCTTCATTATCATAGAAATTTTGTCTAATAATTTTTATGTCGGCCAACAAAAGATCTGTACATGCAAATTTTTTTGATTTGTGAACACCATTATTTTTAAAATTCAATAACCCTGGATCTAAATCTGAATATCTAAAAGAAAACAAATTAAACCACAAAAACACAACATAACCTGTAGTTTACCTTATTTCTCTCTTACGTTCTTTTGCCGTAGTATTTATTTTTCTTTTTCTCGTTCCTCTATTTGTATCACCTACAATATGCTCACCTTCACTCATTTTAATACTATTATCACCTATTATTATTAAAAAAACAACCTATTAAGCACGAATAATATCAGATACTGTTGATTCCTAAATCAACGTCTCAGAGCAAAATAAAGTCGTTAAATAGTAAAAAAGCAATGCAAGCAAAATAGCGCTATTTGTTTCTCTCGCTACTGGACAAAATGCGTTTTGTTTGTCTAAGTGATTTTTGAAGCCAAAAATATACGTGAAATATTACGTTTAGAATATCTAGGAGTATGTAAATTAATAAATGATGTTTTGACTAATCCAACGCCACCTCTAAGTCAAAAAGTGAAAATATGGACAAAGTGCGATTTCAAAGTCTGCTCCTCAATTTATCTTCGTCTTGTTCATCCTGTTTGTCTGGCGCTTGTCTTCGTGCTAAACTTTTTTCTAATATATTAGCAAAGGGCTGATATCAGCCGGATGAAGTTTAATTTTTTTTTGTTTTTGTGACGTTCTCCTGTAGGTGTAGAAACAGTCGCTTCTAAAGACGAGTTCTGCACACTACCATTTTCCTGTTCAGATATTGGAAGTTCTGCATGTACTTCTGGACCGAAGTTACTTTCAGTAACATTTTTTTGAATTCAGTTTTGCAGGAACCTTAACCTATTATAGTGAATATACGTGCTTGTTGCTTTTGCGCCGGAGCCCGATTTTAGCAGCTTGTTTTTTTTTTGTCTTGTTTGACATAGTGATCCCTTATGCTCTTCCATTTTTTGTGTAATGATGCTCCTGTAATAGATAAAATATTGTTACTTTGTTGCAGATACTTGGCAAGTGGATGTTCTATGGGTGAATTACATTATTCTTATAAGATTGGAAGGTCTACTGTGGCAGAAATAATTCATGAAGTATGTAAAGTGTTATGGAGAGAACTAAAAACTGTAGTAATGGAAATACCCACAGCAGATAAATGGAGAGAAATTGCTAACGGGTTTAAGAAACACGCTAAGTTTCCTAAACTTAGCGTGTTACATATACGGTTATTCCAACAGGCACAGTCTGCTTCACTATATTATAATTATAAACACTTTTTCTCACTACTACTACTACTAACATTGTGTGATGCAAATTATTGTTTTACCTGGGTTAACATTGGTGCGATATGGGAAAAATAGCGACTCGGGAGTATTTCAAGAATCTACATTGTACAGAATGCTTATGGAGAAGACACTGAACATTCCTGAACAAACGGCAATAACAGGTGGGTCCATTGTACCCTATGTAATAGTGGGTAATGAAGCTTTTGCTCTGATGGAAAATTTAATGAAACCATGTGGTGGATAATAAAATAATTATAGCCAGAACGATTGCCAATATTCGGAACGAATAGGCACTGAAAGAAGAAGAAGATGGTGGAAAGTTACTGACGTACGAAAAAATTTTTTGTAATTATCGTTTAACTCTTGCAAGACGGTATATCGAATGTACATTTGGTATCATGTGCAACAAATGGCGAATATTACATCGACCGTTAGGTGTAAATATTAATTTCGCTGAAGATATTGTGAAAGCTATTTGCATACTCCACAATTATGTTAGGCAAAGAGATGGTTCTACGTTTGAAGAGACGCTTTATACAGCACCGCTAATTAATCTACAGCAATCCTCCACTCCAAGAAAATGTACGAAATAAATTTATGCATTATTTCGTTAATGAAGGCAAACTGACCTGGCAAAATAGCATGATTTGAATTGTAAAAAAACAATAATAAAAAAGTTCTTACCTAATATTTTTTTCTTTTCATCGGTATCTTCGTTGGGGCAAAAATTAACACTCCTCTCAAGCGTTTTTTTTTAAATAATTTTATTACTATATTCACTACTACTCTTGTCCCAAATGGCTGTTTTTTTTTTAATTTCATTAATGAATTGATCTGTATTAAATGCTTCGCCCATATTTTTAGATTATTAAATTACATATACTGAATATACACCACACTGCATAAACTGCGCCTTCCAACTACATAAGCCGATGTGTTTCAATGTACTTTGTCAACCGCGCGTTTTGTCTCGGAGGCGTGGGCACAAAGTTCCGAGCGGTTGCTCAGCGGCGACTGCGCGTTTTGCGAAAGGCGCGTTTTCATGTGAATAAGCAGCTTCATTTCTTAGTAAGCTACAACCGCGCTGTTTCTGAAGGCGCGTCGACCGCTTGTCATCTGTTATTGCTCCTATGTTCTGAGGTATAACCGTACATTTGAGCAGTTCACTTTCACTATTGGCATGACCTTGATGGGAACTGTTTACAGTCGATTGTTTTTACACTTTTTTCGGATATGTTTGTTTCTAAAAAACTTACTCTTTGTAATAATAATCCATTATTTTCTTTTAAAACCTGTTTTTGTCCTCCATTTCCTTGATAAGTCTTTTTAGTAACTCGTTTTCTAACTTAAGTATTTCTATATCAGCTGTTGATTTAACTACATTCAGGTTATGTTCACCATTCTCACAGCACTTTACTAAATTTTTCTCACAAAATTCAAAACCAGCCCTTTTTGCACAACTGGGATGAAACACATTGAAACACCATTTACATACCATAATTTTGCATTCTTTTTTGGTGCAGCATTTGAAATTAATCTGTAAATTATTGTCACCATCAACTGACCCTGTGTCCTCATCGCCGGCCATCTTGGAAGTGAATTTTTACTTGTCCCGTAAAGATAGTTCAAGCACTCCTGACCATGGAGCTGCGCGAACGCGGACTCAAATTAACGTAAAGGCAGAAAGGTTCTATTGTAAGTGGACTTATACAGTGCATAGTACAATGCGTTTCGCATGGAAGTGCGGACTAAACCAAATTTCGTCTACTGCGCCGTGGTCAGGAGGGCTTGCACATACTATAACTTGTTACTTACCATAGTACGCCGTTCAAACAGGTTCAAGTGACTAAAGATGTTGTTTAAAATTAGTTGATTGTCCCCGTGTAAACAAGCCATGAATTCTGCCGGAGCGTAGCACGTCTGATCGCTTCGGAGTTCAGCGGCAGACTGAGTGGGGCCCACTTAGTGGGCAGTAGTGATGGGTTGCTAAATAGCAGGCTGCTTTTTTTTAACTGCTATCTGGTTCTTAGTAACTGCTACTGCTACTGGCTTCGAAATTTGCTATTTTTGTAGCAGTCGATTCGGCGCTGACACGAACCGAGGCTGATTTTCAAGTTAGGTGCGTTTCGGTGATTACGACTATTTCAAGCTCTGCGAACTGCTATTTTGATTCACTATGACGATGATATTGGGAACATTGTGAATGAACGGTAATTCAGGTTCGAGCCAATTGAACCGTAATAACCGTAGACAAATATGAGTAATAAGGATATTATTTTCAAGTATTACTCTTTTATGGCAATTTTAAAAAACTTAATGTATTTTACATATTATTATGTAGGTATTATAAAAAAGTGCATAATTTTCATTAACAACACTAGTATATTAATTAAAAAAAATATGTACTTAACTAAGTCTAACTAGTCTTAATATAAATGTATTGATAAAAAAAGATGTATCGTCTCACCATTGATCACTGAGAGGATCCTCATTCCTATGTATATTCTTCTTCTAAATAACGGTTAACTTCTACGATGGCACCTGCTTGCGGACTTTGATTTAATTTGGGTTGAGATGAAACTGACTTATTTCATTGTTTCCATATATCAAACAATGGCTTTTCGGTTTCGGACTCTAATGTTCTGGATGTATTAGCAGATTCTACTTCCATCATTATATCGTCATTTGATGTGGAAGTAACTTTTATATTTTGAGCTACTAAACCAATAAAAATTTCCTTGGCTTTATCAAAAGTTCCAGGTTTAATAAAACACACATTTTTAAATCTTGGATCTAAAAAAGTGGATACTATCAATGTTATACTAGATTCTAAATCGCCTAGCCTGAAGGTTATACTTTCTATAAGTTTTTCAATAACACGTTTACTCTCCTGTCTCATTTCTGTTTGCATTGCACTATCATTGTGGGATAGTTAGAAGGTGAAATATTTGGACAATTAGCTGCCTGGTGTCCGGTTAATTTGCATTTGAAACATGTTTCGTTTTGGGCTATAAATATACGGTATCATGTTTGTTCCAACGCAATGATAAAAGATTCGGGTAGTACAAAGTTGTCTGGAAAAGATGAAATGAAAATTTGTCTTCGGTAGCTTAGAATATGAGTGAAGGCAGGATTGGTTGCTCCTATCCGTAGGTATGATATGTCTGAGAGAGGATTTAAACCTAGTTTTATTAATTCGTCCATTATTAAGTTAGTAGGTATGCTTGGACATAATTAAGCGGACTGATGAAGTTATTAATCTTCTCGCTTCTAGTATATTTCCATTTACAATTATCTTCTATGTTTCTGCTATGAATTTAACTACTAGGTTTTTAGATGATAAATATATGCATACTTTACCGTTTGATATACGTGATGCGAAAATTATATTTTTTGGTTCTATATGCTGACTCATTCCTTCAAGATTGTCATTAATTGTACAATTCTTTAGAGTGTTAAATATAATGGCTTGATCTCTGTTTGGGATTAATATACTACATAGTTGACTAACTGCTTTTGAGTATGATTCATTTTGTGGTAGCTGACTGGAAGATGACATCTTTTAAATGGATTTAAAATCCGACTAAAACCGGTGCTGTTTTAACAGCTTTCGCTGTGATACCAGTTTATGGAAATATATATAATACTTTTAACTAATTGTAGTGATTTATTTAAATATCTAAATCCAAATAGATTACAAAAGTATATTTTATCTACTCACGATTTCAATATTAAGTATACTTTCACTTATTTTTATACTTAATTAGTTTTAAATTTACTTAAGTAATTACTATTTAACTAGCACGATAAATGAGTGCCTAAATCACGCCTTTTTCGCTTGCTGGTCAAACATCGACTCAATATATCTGCAACATTAAACTAATTTTTGTGTAATACATCTTGCACAACTTTGCATTAAACACTTTCCAAGTGTTCCAAAGTTCGAGTGTTTGTTACAACACAATGTTCTTAACATTTTATCTAAATTTCTTTGGTTTAAAATTCGATTTTTGTTTAAAGTTTTTATAAAAAACACTAAAATTTGCATGAAGAACACAAAGGCATGTTTCCCTGTTCGATACCTTTAGTGGAACAACCCAAAAAGGACGAATCTTACAAAAGCTGGGTATGAGATTGTAATGCTATGTTTTTCTTTATTACAATATCAGTATCATTTAAATAACGTCTTTGCTTTTTATCGCCGTTCTGATAATAGTTTCCTTTTACCAGGGCACTGTACTGAAACTTCGTCATCAGTGAAAAATTTATGCACAGTGCACCTTATTAATCCAAATTTATCAATTTTTTTACGGGTGTATTCTGTCAATCCTGACTTCTTTAAAGCAGTGGTACTCATTTTGTTTGAAAGGAAACTGTTTGCATATTTAAATAATTTATAGTTTTTAATAGTTTACCTTTGATTACTTTCGAAAATGTCTGTTTCGACTTTCTACCTCTTATTTCATTTAAATTTTCACTAAGTTCCTTTGTAATGTTCTCGGACGCGACTAGTTCACGTTCGAGACGCATCGCCCCGCCCCTTATTTTTCCCGTTGACCCCTCCCTGACCTGGAAATCCCTAATCGCTACTTCAGAAAGTATAAAAAGAGGCGATTTTCAGGTCAATAAGTTTAGTCCTTCACGGGCTCTCCGAGAGCTTAGTGCTCTCGGGCTCTGCTTTCTTGTTTTTAGCTTATCCATACTCTGTGGCTGAGATGTTATTTACTGCAACCTGGTATTTTTATTTCGACTTAACCTTTGTCATGTTAGAAATATCTTGCCTTTTTTCAAGGCAAGATACCAGAAGAAAACATTTACGAGTCCATACCCTGAAAATGGACTTAAGTAGACGAGCTATCGTTGATGTTTTCGAAGCCCTGTACAGAACACCCGAGGCATTAGAAGGCATTTAGACCCTTTCCATTTAACCCCGAGGTGACCAAAGGACCTCTCCAAATAAAATTTTTCTTCCTATTTCTTCTGTAATGTTATAACTCTTTAACATCTTATCGACATCGGTTTTAGGTGAGCTCGCTTTAAGTGAAGTTAGTTGATTTTTTGTACGGAAATATTTAGATTTATATCTCGACAAAGCCGTGCGTAAATTTTGTTTTCTGATTTTAATTTTTGAATATCTCGGTAGCATTTTGCTCTGTCCTTTGGACTTTTGACCTTGTAATTTTTGTCGGATAGCTTCGACACTATTAGTCGTAGTTTCACTTTCATTGTGATTTTCAGCTCTTAAAAATTGAAGTGGTGTCGAAGTATGATAATTTCGATCCATCACTCTCTTTGGTGTTTCATTCATAATTTTTTCCAATAACTGTTTTTTGGTTGATATCGTTTAGAGTTCTCGAGTACTACGGATAATATTACAACCATGTTAATGAATGTTGATAAACATACGAATCTGACCCTAGCAGAACTGAACACTCTCACAACTGAACCAAGCCTGATCGTGCTTTTAGGCGTCTGATCATAAAAATATTAACGGTTGTTCTAATTTGATGACACTGTTGCCATATCTAATTTCAAATTATTAAAGGCAATTTGACGCTGTTTGTAATAAACGTTAATGAACTCAGAAGCTGGTTGCATATTTTAAAGATGGTCTTAGCAAGTATAGATAATATTTATAGTAAACTATATTCACTCAGTTATTGCTTTATTATTACTCATTTAGTTTAGGAACTCAAAACAATTCCAAATAAAGGCAACTACTATGAAAGTAAAAATATCCGTAAAAATTGGTAGCCAGTTGCATCCACGTTTACCTTCGTCTTCCCACGTCGGTAAAATTACGTGGAGTCCCATGTGGGTTCCATTTGTACCCTAGAGAAAAAAATGTGTATATTTAATTTTTATTATAAAAAAATGAAATAAAATCTTAAATTAACACATTTTTATTACCTCAAAGGTATATCGAACAAAAAAAAATAATTTTCATCATTTAATTAAATTAACTGTAGGAATAAAAAATAAATCTTAGGACCGAAAATAGTCTGAAGTTTCTTGGCATCGGGTGCAAATTACTTCTTTGATATGGTGTTCTGCACATACAAAAATTTTTACATTACTTTATCAAAATTGCATTTATTTACGATCTTTATTTCGAGTACATAAGTAGCAACGTCCACTTGAAGATCGTTCACAGGCTGCTTCCATTTGCATCTTCACCAGCGCCAACACTGGAACGACATCTTGCATGTACTGCTTCAACGTCTTACTCAATCGTACTCCCTCATTATATCACCTGGTAATATTTTCTTTTACTAAAGCTTCTCCTAGATTTAGTAAAAAATTACGTCTTTTTCTCTAGATGAATCCGGTACGTGATACACCATAAGATGTAAGCGTTCAGGCCAGAAATATCCAATATTTGTAAAAATACTCGTTCGGAATGCATGCTTTATTTTTACGCAGAGTACCACATAGGCTTAGTACTTTTTTGATAATTTTTAGGCCAGTGGTAATCTTGTAAAAAATTATCTGATAGGTATGCATTACTCAGAGCCAAGTGGCTCAAAAAGGCCAAGGACAATTCTTTCACCTGATATTTTTCGGGTGCGTTATTCTTTTTTCCAAGATAAACTTGTAAATTCATACTGTAAGCATTTTCGCTGGCTACTATCACCCAAATCTCCATATTAAATCAGACTTGCTTTTCATGTACACACGAAAAGGGCATCGCCCTCGGAATGAAACTAGTTGTTCATCTATGGTAAGATGCGGTCCAGGTGAATATGCCATAGTACAATTTTTCACAAAAGTATTGAACACCTCTCTAATAGGTACGAGTTTATCAGGCGTTTTACGCTCAGCTCTGGTAGAATAGTCATCGCAAACGAATAAATGCAACTGAAATCCTATTACGGAATAATAGCAACTTGCAACTTCCGCTAGGCCTATTATTCCCGACAACCTGTTGGAATAATAGGCCTAGCGTATTTTTTATCGGTAACACCATAACATTTTGGGGCTCTTTTGTAGCTTGAAGTGATTCTTGAATAAGCAGAAGTCCTAAATAAGCGCGAATCTCTATATGATCAGTTAGCTGCCAAGTACGTGCTGGTATATTTGGATTTGTTTCGTTCTATTTGTTTATTATCTAAAAAAAAATTACTCATGACATTACAATCCGTTTATGTCCTATTACCTATCAACAATAAGAATAAAATAACTGAAACATATTACAAAAAATTCGAATCTGATGATTTGTAAGATGCAAACTGATAAATAGTTACTATCAAATAAAGATATTTACCTATTCGGCTATATTATTAGTTTGAAGTACTATGATTCCTTAAAGATCGTCTGAAAAAAAACAACGAAAATGATTCAATTCTAGTGGTTAAATTCGAACTATACGTAGTGAGACCTGCTTGTTTCTTCAAAATATTTTTTACAATTATTTGGTTTGCTTGGTTTGTAATTTGCTGAACGTTTTCATTATCGTTGAAAAAATTAAAAGAAGATATCGAGCACACTTTTATTAATCAACTCCTGCCCAAGCACTTTCGCTTTCTACAGCATCATCAGGGGCATTTCGTCAAATTTGGGCTATCCAGCAAGCGCAGAATGTAATAAACATGAAATTAAACATAAATTGTACATAACACTACACTAAACAAGGATAAACAGTTTAAAATTATTTAAAAATTAATCTACGCTACATTCTTGTCGGCAACACGAGAGAGAATCATATGTCTTCCAGGAACATCTAATAAAAACTAACCAAAACCATCTCAAACCGAAAAATCAATTTAAAATGAAATTAAAGAAACACGTATATTTAATATGCTTACCATTATCAGCAAGATTTTCAATATTCATCAAACCAGCAACGGCATGAATATGTTTACACATATTGTACTTTATGGCTGAATCCACACCTGTGCATTTGTAGAATTGAATACAAATTTGGCATTCTGTACATTTTCACTGGCAATTACATATTATACCTGCTTTTGTAACACAGTATAATTCTTTGGTGTTCTTTGATGGTATTTTCCAACCATTTTCTGTCTTTGTTAATTAATGCTTAGCTAAATATTCTGAAGCTTTATATCTTTTCCTTATTTCCTTGATTTTGCTACAAATCTTGCCTTTATGTCCAGAAATAAGTTGGTCAAAAAATGTATCTCTTATAAGAGTCATAGGAGCAATAATAGCTTTGTCCAATCTCTGAACATTCTTTCCTTTTATATACAGATATTTTATTGTTTTATGCAATATCTCTAAATGCATGTTAGTATTGATGCCACAATTGAACCTATGTGCATAGGCCCAATTTCTAATGTTGTGACTATAATTGTCTTTAAAACAGTTAATAAAATCTTTAATATCTGGGTCTGCTGAGTTTGAAAAAAATTGTAGCTTTCTATATAAAGCTTGTTTATTTTTTTTTTCATTAATACCCGTAGTTTTATAAAAACTTCCTCCTAAAATGTTTCTCTTTTAAATAATTGAGAGCCATAAAGTTCTTTACACCTACCTGTTTTTCTTTTAATTTTATTTTCATTAAGTTCTTTTTCCATGCTCGTAAAACATGCCATGAACACTATAACCTAAAGTTATAAGTATTATTTTAAAATCATACAAATACATATTTCTACCTTCTTTCTGGAACTTCCATTGTTTCTATTCAAGAATTATAATATGTTTCTGCCATGTCAGACATGAATATTGATGGTTTTATGAATGATATTTCATTTTTTATTTTTGTTAAAAACAATACCAATATTTCTTTATCTGACCGGTTTGAAATAGGAAAACTGCATGAAAACCCTTCACGAAGATTGTGCAAAACTAAAAGTGTTAATTCAAAATTGTAGCTATTTAAGTCATGTGTCCCATTCATGCATATTACACCAGAACCAAATTTTAATAAATACTTTTGAGCAGAAGTCATTATAATTAAAACAAATTTATTTGCCTTTAATTGGGTGTCTTCATCTAGTGTAACTCCTTGTGGTTTATAAAATAAAATGCAATTTTGTTGTTGTTTCATTTGGGAAACCCAGGATTCAACACTGATTGCATCATTAGAATGTCTGATTGCAAAATCACTTAAGTTAAACCCCTTTTCAATGTTATGTACATCTTTACGTGTTAAAAGATGCCGTCTGTATAGATCTGAATCAGTAAAAAATCCCCTTACTTCATTTAAAATCTCCGAAAAGGGAACTTTCGCTGCAATTCTTTGTACAATATTTGTTCTGTCTTCTTTCCTTAAATTTACATGGCCTATTTCCATCTCATGACCTACATGTGTTTCTGTAAAAGTCAAGTTGCATGTATTGTCCTCATGTACAAGTAATTTCAAAGAAACGGGACAATAAGAGTTAATATTATTTGAGCCCTGTAATTTAATATGCCTTTTTTATATACGCCCCCAAATTTCAATTTCCAGTCATAAAAATCACATTCTGAAGCAAATTCCAACGTTTTAGTTATAATTTCAATTCCATGAGCAATGTGAAAGTGACTTCTAAGATTTTTATTGCAATTACACAATCCACATTGTTTTCTCCATTTGCTGAGTTTTCATATCAACTAAGCAACACCACGTAATACATTTTCCTTAACTTTACAAGAGAGCAAAAACAAAACAACTTACTTAACAAAACATATTATGCTGATTTAAATTGGATTTTTGTTTGAAATTTTTCTTACATACTGTACAAGTAAAGGCACAAGCACTAGTAACCTGTATACTTCTGGAGCAAGGAGTTCCCCATAAAACCTTCCAATATGTTGCGCAATATAATTTTTTGCAACAAGTTGGGCATTCCATAGTTAAAAAAAATGAGTTGCATAAAATATGTGTAATGATTTATGAAACAAACATACAAACAAAACAAACAAAATACGATTTGATTGTCATACTTTCCGATGTGATCAATCAACACTGAGTTGAATGCATCGATACCGATCTGCCTGATTTGTTGGTATGCTGTCTAGACGTTAGTGAGTATCAATTGCTGAGCTGATCAATTTAACCAGTCTCCTTCTCATGATAGCCGGACGTGCATGGCCATGCCATGAGCCCGACACCCTCTTTAGTGGGAGCGTGGATGTAGGCATCGGCACACGTACGATTGAGGGGCAGAATCTTCCGAACGGCTATACGTACGGACCTGTCAATGCCCTTTAGCGTTTTCATCGTGATGGAGGGACTCTAGAGCTTGTCAATATATCTCGGTAGCAGGTATGTTTTTAAGTACCAGCAGTTTTTGTGCAGGTTTGAGCTCCGCTGGATGAATACGATCGATCTGTGTATGCAGCTCGTTGAAGGCCACCCTGGTCTGTCCTAGTGCATTATACCTTCGGTCTAGGTATGCAACCAGCTCACTCGGTTGCAGATGCCGAATCCTGTCGTTGCCGACAGAGAACAGCGCACGCGTCACGCAGTAAAAGTGACATTAACATGACAGTTTAACATTAACCGTAATAGCTGCACTCTTACCAGCGTTTAGGTACATTTAGGCCAACAGTCACGGGAAGATCAGATCACAGTCAAATTAAGGGGCAACCCCTTCACACACACACAGTCCGGGCAGATCACCGTCAGTCTACTTCAGCATTCCGGTATATCAAGATGTCTAAGAGAATAACACTCTACAAAATGGCATTACTTTTGGAAGAATAAAAAGTGAGGCCTCGTGGAGAGTGGCTACACAAAATATTTTTATCGAGGAGAGACGAAGCGAATTTCGCAAAATTGTACCCACAATTAGTGAACGACGAGACAAAATTCGTACAGTACTTTCGCATATCGCATTATGATTTTTTTAATTTGCTGTCTCTGATTAAAGACGACATAACGAAAATGGTCACTCACTATAGAAGAGCAGTAACTCCAGCCGAAACGCTTGCTGTAAGTTTGAGGTAAGAAAATAAAATTACGTGAATGATTCAAAATTTTGTATTGTAAAAAAATGTGTAGATAGTTTTCAAAAAAAGTTTTATACAAAGTTTTCTGGTGAAAAAGTTTTTAAGTAGGAACCTGTAGTTTGATTAGAGCTTGCTGGAGAATATTGGGGTGGTGAATTCTGAACATCCTGGTTATTAAGTTGGCTGTTATTAGTTCTCTGTGAATAGGTTGGCTTAGAATGTTGGTGAACGTTAGTAACAGACGAAGAGTGTGCAAATTGATTCAAATTACCTTCAAATTAACTATTTCAGTTCACTGATTACACGAAAAACTCTTTGTTTAGTCAAAAGTTTATTTCTGGCAATAAATTTTTTTTACTGTAGCTTTCATGGTGTCAAAGAAAAGATCAATATCATCTTTTTCTTTTTCATTTTTTTCTTCTTCCAAAAGATATTTCATCAAAACTGCAATAGCAATTTCAACAGCTTGATGCCCTCTACGTTTAGGGTTGGATGGTTTCCGCATTGTGATCGCAATAGAAGAGTGGTTTGTTTCGTTGGGGTTTTCTAAAGCAAGTTCCTCGTCTATCGCGATATTATCTTCCTCTAGTAGAACTGCATGTACCTCGTTTTCTGTTGCGACGGAAGTATATCTTGTCTTGTCTTGTCTATATAGTTAAGAACGACCGACATATTATCGTAGCTTCCATGTTGATGGAGACCCAACTGATTAACCAGTTACTCCTTTTTTTTGCGCGAATATATTTTCGGAATTGGTTTCGAAATGACTCCCACCTCAGCTTACATTTGTTAGGATCTAAAAAAAAAATAAAAAATAATTAGACAAATACTTATACTAACAGCATATTCAAAACATAACCAACATTTCTTGATTGATATTACGAATGAGTAAGTGATATGATGAATGAGTTATAATTGTATGTTAATGAGTTTTAGTTAATTATTACAATTATTATTTTGCAGATTCCTTGCAACTGGTGATTCTTTCGTAACTCTATCGTATAATTACCGACTTGGACATTCTACTGTGCACTCTATAGTCCATGAAGTATGTAGTACTATAGTTATAGATTGCTTGCGAGTTTTTATATCAATGCCTTCTACTGAAGACTGGACGACAATCTCACACGATTTCGAGACTAAATGGAATTTCCTGAACTGCATTGGAGCTATTGACGGAAAACACTGCGACATATTTGCACCTCATAATAATTAGGCGATCAAGCTTTTCCACTCAAAACATATATGTTAAGACCGTACCCCTCAAATCAGGTACAAGAAGACCCAAGGAAACGGATTTTTAACTATCGACATTGTAGAGCAAGAAGAACGGTGCAAAACGCTTTTGGTTTATTGGCCCAATGATTCAGAATATATTACCGTAAAATAAACTCACAGCCTGGCTACATAGAAAACATAATCTTGGCTACTTGCATACTGCATAACTACATTTTAGGTCGAAATAACTCATATTGGGGTGTATTCTGTAACACTTTCGTTAAATTTTAGCGTCCGCTAAAATTATTTTTATATTCTGTAACTTATGCATCCGTTAAAATCATAACCTAAACCGTTAAAACTCCTGCTAAAACAGAATATTTTGGAGGATGTCAAAACTTGTCCTCTTATTTTTAGCAGTCCGTTAAATATCATTTAATTATTTTTGTTTGGTTAAGTTTATATGATTATTAGTTTGTTATTTATATATTATAGTGCAGATAAACAATTAAAAAATACAAATGGCTTATTATGATATATTTGGCGAAGCTTTAGTTGATAAAATAATAAATAATAATGAAAGGTAAGTCTCAGTTTACTTTATAATCCATGTGTTACACCTATAACAAAATTCAATTTTTTTATTCTTTTATAGAGCTGAATTCAGATTAAATCAAAGAATAATCCGAGATATGAGCAATCCTTTTCAGCTACCCATTTCAACATTTATAAAACTGTAAAAAACTGGATTATCATTGATATGATTAGTCCATATATGCAAGAAGGACAAAGAATATCTGCAATTCCTAAAGAACTGAAGATTGTATCGACTTTAAACTTTTATGGTACTAGGAGCTATCAATTATCCCCAGGACAAGGATACAATTTTGCTTTAAGTCAACCAAGCATGAGTCGTTGCATTGATGACGTGACAGAAATAATTTATAGTAATTTAACACCAAACTGGATAAAATTTCCAATTAATAAGCATTCCAGAAATACTATTTGTAATGGTTTCAGAAATAAATATAACTTTCCACAATGTTTGGGGGCTATAGATTGCACTCATATTGCAATTATATCTCCTCCAGAAAACTACCCAGCTCTTCCATACTATTGTAGAAAAGGGTATTACAATATAAACTGCTAAATTATTGTGGATAGTGACTACAATATTTTAAATATGAACGCACGTTTTCCTGGATCTACTCATGACTCGGCTATTTGGCAAGCCTCAAATATTAAAACAATAATGCAGAATTTGTATATTGGAGGTGCTAATTATTTCCTTATCGGTGATTCTGGTTACCCTTTGCAACCTTTTTTAAAGACACCATTTGAAAATCCCCAAGAAAATACACCTGAAAGTAATAATAATTACCATTTTATAAGAAGTACGAATACAGTTGAAAAACTAAATGGAGTGCTGAAATCAAGATTTCGATGTTTATCAAAGCATCGTGTGTTAAATTATAATCCTATTAAAACAGGGAAAATTATTTATAGTTGTGGTGCACTACACAATATATCAAATTTTTATAAAGATGAAGTTCCAGAAGGTTTAGAACTGGACGATGAAAACGACCTCAATATAATTGAAAATGTACCAGTTGACCAAAATTGGTACAGAAGAGGAGAACAAATCCGAGATGCAATTGTTCAACAATGTTTTAATAATGTATGATTTTATGAATAAAAATATTTTAGCAATGTTCTGAAACTACTTTTGGTATAGTCAAGTTAAATATGTTTTTATTGGATTAAGACACAATTAATGGTTGTGGTAAAAATCACATTTTTCATTTACTAATATTTGAAGTTTTAATTTCAATTCCAGAAATTGTTCTCAAAACAGGTTTTTTTGTACAAACTATGTAAATATGGATTATACACATTTTACATAATTTGTAAAAAAACCTTTTTTGAAAATGATTTCTGGAGTGAAAATTGAAACATCAAATATTAATTCATTAAAAATGTGATTTCATCACAATTACAACCAATAATAGTGGTTTAACCCCATAAAACCATAATATTTATAAATATTTTAATTGGAAAATAATAAGTTTTACCAAAAAATAAATAACTGACCTTGTTTTCCCCCAGGATGTTTAGTGATAGAAAATAAATTTACTTGTTTATTTGGTGCTTATTATACACAGTCTAAGGAGTTAAAGAAAAAAAAGAGACAATTTTTAAGATTTTAAGAAAAACATTTATTTGTATAAATTTTTTTTTGTAATTTTCATCTCCTAAATGATAAAATGGCCCTGGCCACTCTATTCAATGCTGACGCAATGGCATAATTTGACCTGGCAAGTTTTGCCAACTGGCGGTCATGCAGTTCGACAGCAGTTGTCACTCTACTTCCTGCCCTGCCTCTATTCACTCTTCTAGGTCTTCTTCTTGTGGATATTGCTGGTGGGCTATCTATATTTTGAGTATTCTGACTTGGCTCTGTTGAGGGAGTTGGCTGTGGAGGTACATAACCTGAAGGGGAGGCAATTTCCACTGGCAGTTCAAATAATTCTTCCTATAAAGAGTGAAAAAAAGCAAATGAAATATATTCATATATAATTTCAATTTAGTAATACCTTATTATCTAAATAAAATGTTTTATTGAATATATCACAAAATATTGTCAGTCAAAAACACATTCTGATAGTATATCAATTTAGTGACAAAGAACTTACTTCGGCAACGATCATTTCCACGGCAGCTTCTGATAATTGGGCTCCTTCTACTGACAGCTCAGAAACGAGTAGACCCAATATCCTTTCTTCGAAAGGAGTTAATGGTAGCACCAGTCCTCCTGCAGTTCCCTGGCATCCATACCTCACCTCTCTAGCACGTCTCTTAGCTTTGGTTTTCATTTCTGATATTGTCTGAAAATTTATTTTTTTATAAAATTGAGCTCTATGTATTAACTAAGCCTATATATATATATATATATATATATATATATATATATATAATATATATATATATATATATATATATATATAATATATATATATATATAATATATATATATAATATATAAGGATCACGCAGAAGAGTGGTCGGTTCTTATATCGGTCCTCAAGGTAAAAAATTATTTTTTTTTGGCGGCAGCTGTAAGGCTTTGATCGGTAACTTCATTTACACTACTTTTTAAATAATTTTTTATTAACATCACTTATAATGCTACCTAAAGTTAAAATCAAAGCTTAATAATTATCAAATAGTTGGAAGTAAATCTATGATTTTCTTGGTTCTTTTTCACTACTTAAGATTAAATATAATATTTCATTTACTTTAGACCACAAGGTCAGTTGCTGTGCTAATTTTTTATAAGTTGCTATATGTTGTTAGTTACTTGATTGTTTATACAATATCACCGTATAATATCCATTTACTTGAGTTTTATTCACATACTTGATGATGCTTTCAGAACTGATGATGCTTTCAGAATACGAAAGCGAAACGTCTTCAAAATAGATAAAGTAGCCTATCAACTTTGTCTTTTATTTCTCCACCTTGAGACCGATATAACTATATTCTCAAAGTTATGGATCCTCTTTTGATGATATACCCAATGGTGACCAACTTAGAACCATTTCAAATAATTCAGTTAATAGCATTGTTCTGCCTAATGCTGATCTTGAGAATCCTACCACCCATTACTCATATCTGCCTTATTTTCCTCAAGTTACTGAGAAGCTTATTAAACTGTATAAACAGAATAACATACCAGTTAAAATTGCAGTTAAAAATGCTAAGACTGTTAGAAATTTGTTTTCGAAAACTAAAACACCCTAAAACTAAAAACACCAGTAATTTGATAACTACAAGTTTGGAAATAATTGCACACCCACACAATTTTACATCTACACTTATTCATTGTCATAAATGTCACCTTCATAAAACAATTACTCAATAAATAACACACATTTCAAAAATATATCTCTGGAATAAGTATAAATAACTTTTAATAACACAATAATATATTACACCACTTACATTTAACAAACAATCTCACACACATCTCAAATTCATTGGATCAAATCTACCTCCTCAAGAACTTCCCGTTTACTGTCAAACAACTGCAATAATAGTATTGAGTTCTCCATTCAACAATATACAGTAGTTTCAAACATGTTCTACCATCCATCTATTAATAGAGTACCGGCATGTAAGTAATTTTATTTTATTTCATTTATTTATTTGCTCATTCATTAATTTATTCCAATAGAAGAGATTTTATGACAATTTGTGGGCCTTACCTTGTCCTTTTAAACTTTTTAAAAAATATTTATACCTTTTATTCAACTCAATCATTTAAATAAAACCACAGACAGGTAATATTGGCATAATTATTGTAATTTATAACATCTAATTTATTTATCTTTATTAGACAACACCCTAATATGGGTTTTTATCATTTCAGCATTTGTTTTAACTTTGTACCGAGACCTGAAGATGCTTTGCATATTGTAGAAAGCGAAACCGGTCGTCGGATAGTTAAATTAAATTGATTGTGAGTAAGTCTGATTTATTATTTCTTTACCTATTTAAAACACCCTTGTTCACTTTGGAACAAGTTAACACTATATACTACTTACCTTGTGCTGAGTGTAACGCATGTTATATTGGTCAAACTGGAAGATCAATAAAAGGACGTCTTACTTCGCATCGAGGTGACATTAATCTGTCAAAGCACACATGTGCGTTAGCGCAACACGCAATTAACACCAAACATAAGGTGGATTTCAATGAAGTCAAAATTCTTGGCACTGAGCGCAATCTTGGTAAAAGACAGTTCTTAGAAATGTGTTCTATTCTTAAACATCCTAATGCTTTAAATAAGAGAACTGACATAAGTAACTTGAGCCAAATATATCATGCTTTAATTTTGCAGAATTAGGCTTTACAATCAGTTCATTATGTATGTGTCTCTAAAGTCGTACAATTTAACACATTTGTTTTATTAAATAATTCTAAAACTTTAACTTACTATAATTAATACTTTGATAAAATATAATATTACAATAATGTCAATTAACGTAGACTTAACTATGCAACTCACATTGCATACTCTGTCGTTGTTCATACATTGATTAATGTGAATTTCTGATTTTTACTTTAATACAAATTAATACATTTCATTCTTAGAATACCTTTTAAATTAAAGTTCCAAGCGTGGGACCTTGGACTTTTTGGAAATTAGGTGCTTATCGTCATTCACCTGTAGTTGTATATCCAACTACACTGTTGACGGTTTTTTCACTCTTTTATATATGAAGTTGAATGAATTTTGCCTACCTGTTTGTTCTAGACTGGTTGATGCAGGAAATTAACGTTATCGCTAATTTCTTTCATTGTTTGGTCTCTTACGGGAGGGTATCATTCAAACTCATGTTAACTTTTTCAAATATACCGCCCTTAAATTAGTGGGTTGGTACTCTTAACCTTGCTGTTTTGTCGAAGAATTTTCGACCTCAAGGTTGGCTGTCTGTTCATGTCATTGGCTCGGTATCTTTTAATTAACGCCATTTCAATCGCAACAGGTGCCAAGCATACAGTGATAACTTCACTTTATATTTTTTTTATATATATTTTTTATATCCCAATGTAGATAACTTAAATAATGCTACCAAAAGTTAAGATGAAGTCATAAAATAATTTTTTGCATAGTTGGAAGTGAATCGATGATTTTCTTAGCTCTTTTTTCACTAGTTAATATTATATAAAATATTATATGCTTATTAGACCACGTGTTCTGTTGCTTTACTAATTTTTACTAAGTCTCTAAATGTTGTTAGTTATTTGATTGTTTATACAATATCACCATATGATGTCTATTTATTTGAGTTTTTGTACTAAGTTTTTAATACCATTAACAACTACATGTCTTTTTAAGGTAACTATTTAACATCTTCTTCGTGAATGTGTGGTTCTCATTATGTAAAATTTTTAGATGAACTGATGATGCTATCAGAATTCCTCGTCTGAGTGATCCTTATTATATATTGGATCGACGGTCGTACTCCTTTTTGCGATATATATATATATATATATATATATATATATATATATATATATACTATATATATATATATATATATATATATATATATATATATATATATATATATATATATATATGGTGTTAATCACAGCTGATTAAGTTAGAAAATAAACCAAGTTAGACTCTTTGGGTAAAAACAGCTGAAAGGATAGGCTAAGTGTACTCTTTAGTCCTTTATTGATCCAATATTTCGTTGATAGTTATCAACATCATCAGGGATAAGCTACAATTAGTTTACATGAAAATTGACAATCTGTTATAAATACGTTGATCTTACTTACGATTTTGAGAATGGTGCCGTAAAAGCTGGTCAAATTTATAAAATTTTGTGAAAAAAAATTGTAGTTTTCTCACAAAAAAAAAAGTTTTTTTCTCACAAAAGAAAAACAGAAAAAACATGTAATGTTAAAATTCACTAAGACTGGTACAAAGACAATGCACAATTTTAACTAATTGTGTGTAGGACCGAATGTCCTCTCTCGAGAGTTTTACATCTTATAAATTCTTATTTCTTATTAAACTGTACAGAGTGTCATGTAAAGTGAAACAACGTGGTTGATTGTAGGTTGGAAGACACTAACCTCTAAAATCTTCTTCTCTCTTAGATGGTCAAAGTAGAGGGGTGACTTTAGTTGTCCTTGCCTTATTGGTTGTCTGTACCTGTATTAGAATAGAATCTAAGGTAGGAGATATTTTAAGTAAAATTTTAAATTGTTAACATGATTGAAGATCACGGTAACAAGAGTGTAATAAATAGATTTTGGTTGATTCCAAGACCTAGTTATTTTGTAAAGGTTGAAGATTAATAAAGTACTGTTATATTTAAGTTTTGATATGAAATGTTAATTATTATAAATTGATAAAGTGCTGTATGATTTTTTTTATACTTTAAGAGTCTATTGTTAAACTATGTGATAAACTAGAGTTAAATTTATTCTAAAATGGAAACTATTGAATTATTGAATTTCATATGTTGTTTGTCTACTGTTAGAAGAAAGGAATAAATTTCACTGAGGTGGTTAATGTCTGTTTTTTTATTTATGTTGTTTTCTGTTTGTGCTATACAAGCCATTTCTAGGAAAAGACGTTTCTTGTAGTTGGTTTCTCTTTCTAGAACCTCTACTGACTCAAAGTCCATCTGATGTCCTTCATTTACTACATGAAGCGCTAATGAGCAACGGTCATGATGCAGTCTGCAGTCGCTTTTATGTAAAATTATGCGATTTTTTAGATGCCTTTCTGTGTGGCCTATGTATTTTTTATTGCAGTTTTTGCATGGAATGCTGAAGACTACATGTGACATCTGCTCTCTAGGAGTTTTGTCTTTTACTTTTGTGTGAAGGTTTTTAATTGAAAATACCGTTTTATTGGCTATTTTGAAATTATAAAAAGAATTAAGTACCCTTGCTAGTCTGGGTGTGAGCTCTTTGATATAAGGTAGAGAAATCATTGTGTATTCAGTGTTTTGTTCATTGGTTGTAATAAGTTTAACATTTTCTCCTATTTCTCGGTTATTAGTGTAAATTTGTTCGGAGCTACCCATTTCTCCTTGGACATTTGTATTGATGTTGTTTAATTCATCAACTATACCTTGAGGAAGGGATGAAGGGTGTCATAAAGGATTTTCTTAACTAAATCAGAGGGATAAGAGTTATCTGTAAATAGGTTGTGCAAAAGTTTGAGGTTCTTTTCGTGGAAGGTTATATCTGAAAGTTTCATCACTCGGGTCTTCATTTGTTTTAATAAATTAATTTTCATTGAATGTTTGTGATATGATAGGTAGTGGAGATATCTACCTGATGCTGTTGGTTTTCT